CCATGCCGGCTCGGGGCCTGCCACACCCTCTCCCCACCCTCTTCCTTCCACACGAGCGGAGCACCCGCTGCACGCCAGGGCTCTGCTGGGAGCACAGCAGCGAGCAAAACCAGCCCTGGGGTCTGCCTCAGACAGGGCGGGGACCCCAAGGGAACACGCGTAACGTGGCACCGTCAGAGGGGCGGGGGACATGCCGTGGTCATGGTCAGGGTCTAGAGGGCTGTCAGTCCTATGGGTAAGGGGGCCCAGGCAGGCTCCTGAGCTGGAGGCTGGTATGGCCTGTTTTTTCCTGGTTTTTTTTGTTTGTTTGTTTTTATTTTTAAGATTTTTGCTGAAGAGGATGTGCACTCATCAGAGAGATGGAAAGTGAGAAATCGCCACCCCCAGGCGATGGCCACGCCCCAATCCCTACTCCGTTCTCTCAAGACTTTGGGCATGTGTGCACACGTGCCTGGTGTGAGTTTCAAGCTGCTGATCTGCGATAAGAGCCACAAGTGCACGCACCCTACAGTGTAAACCTAAAATGCACACGCACACACACGCGTGCACACACACAGACACGGGCCAGCAGATGATGTAGAAGGTGAGGGGTCGAATTCTACATGGCCGACTATGATTTGAGTCCTGTGTCCAAAATCTCAAAAGGAGACCGAAGGAGAAGAGGTTAAGGGCGTGGCCATCCCCTGGGGCAGGAGGTGATTTCTTGCTCTCTCACTCTCACTGGCGAGTGCCCGCTCCCTATAACAAAGTAAAAAATCCCATGCACACCTGGAATTGCAGTGCACTCTGGAACCCCGCTGTCTTCACTCGCGATACCGTGGTCTTCCAGAGTGGTGCGCCCACCCTGCCCTCGGCTCCCTGTCGCTGCCAGAACCACTCCCCACCCTCGCTCCCCTTGCTCTGTGCTCCTTCCCTCCATCCGCCCTGAATTTTTTTGGGTTTTTAAACAATGATTGGGGCAGCAGATGGCAGAGTGGTTATGTCCCTGGACTCCCACATGGTCGACCACAGTTTCAGTCCCAGACCCAGCGGCCTGAAACACACCAGGCACATGTGCATGCATGCCCAACATCCCAGGAGAATGGAGAAGGGATTGCAGTGTAGCCATCCCCCTGGGGGGTGATTTTTCACTTTCCCTCTCACTGTCTTGGTCTCTCTCTCT